GCAATGGAGTTGCCATGAGTTGAGGGCTAAATCCATGGCAGCTAACAACAACATTAAGGTCAAGAAGATCATAAGAAGTTTAAATTTAATGTTTTTTTTTTTTTAATAAGTGAACTTTTCATTTTTTTAGAATTGTGTACCTTATAAACCAAACTGAACTCACTGCTGGGTCAAATCCGACTCTTTGCAACCCCTCCTTGGGCTTCTGAGGTGGTATCTTTACCGAAGCAGATTGCCCAGTCTTTCCTTCCAAGGAGTGGCTGATGGGTTTAAACCACCAGCCTTCTGGTTAGCAGCCAAATGCCTTAGGCACTACACCACCAGGTACCTTATAAACCAAAAAACCCAAACTCACTGCCAACGAATTGGGTCTGACTCAGAGCAACCCCTCCCTGGGTTTCTGAGGTGGTATCACTATGGAAGTAGATTGCCCAGTCTTTCCTTCTGAGGAGTGACTGGTGGGTTTGAACCGCCAGCCTATAGGGACGTGGAAATGAAGCCTATATGAGAATGGTGAGTTACAAACTAAACTTTGATGGATCCTCCAACTCTCTGGAAGTCACTTCTAAATAAGTATTGGTTAACTGACCAGAGAATTAGGTCAAATATTACTAGCATGAATAAATAATCAAAATGCTATGATAAACTCTATTTTAATGACAAATAATTATCAAAAGAACTTTGTGAAATTTCATTAAAAAAAGTTGTAGGAAACAAAGTTTCTATTTTAGGCACCTGAAAAATCTGTAAAGTAAATTGGACTTTAAGAAATAGGAAATCAGTTAAAGTGATTATGGGAATTTTAAAAAGAGTTAAAAATAAATCAAACTGGTATAATCAGTTTTTGTATATGTATTGCTATTAACTTTAAAGACTCACATTGTTTTATATCTTTATAATAATTTCCATTTTTCTCATTAGCAGGCACTTTATCCTTATTTTTTTCTTGCTGTTTATTTTGTTTATACAAAGGCATTGCATCAGGGAACTCTGGAAAAAAAAAAAAATGACACCACGCTTTAGGAATGTAATGTTGATTTCTTTTACTACTTCCTTTTCATTACTCTATATTTTTTTCACAAAGATTTGTGAAACATATTTAAAACCTAAATTATATCACAATCTCCAACAATAAAGTTTTTATCAACCTGTAGAAAATTGCCACATACCTATCTTTCATGATTCTAAGTCTTCCCTCCCAGGTATTCTTTCTGTGAAAGATGTAAATACTTACTCACCTTCAAAGTTGGGCTCCATGTCACTGATCTCTGAAGAAAAAACCCCAGATAAAAAAATGAATAATATGAAATGCATTAGGAAAATTTTGTAATTTATTCAGTTATATACTGTGTCTGCCCTGTGTTTCCTTTCTGTTACCCAGCAAGTCCTAAGACTGACTAGACAATTATGACATCATAGCCAAACGGAGGTCAGAATGCTGGGCAGGAGTTCCAAAGGCTTGTAGTAATTTGGAATGCAGCAAATTAATAACACAATGGCAATCAGGACTGGGTGTACTTAAGGCCTAATGTAGTGGTTCCTAAAGTTAAGGGTACATAAGAATCAGTTTAGTGGCTTAATTTAAGTGCAAGTTTCTAGCTTCCACTCTCAGAGATTTCAGTTTAGTAGTTCTGGGCTGAAGCCCAGCAACCAGCCTCCCTAAGGAGTACCTCTGGTGCTTTTGAGGCATGTAGCTAACCCTTGGCTTCATTTTGAGAAAAACTGATATAATAATAATGATTAATATTTGGTATTGGATTGTTTATAAACAGATATCTCTAAAAGCAAAAATCATGGCATAGTGCCTAAGGCATTTGACTGCTAACCAGAAGGTTGGCAGTTCAAACTCGCCAGCCACTCTGCGGGAGGAAGATGGGACAATCTACTTCCATGAAGATTTACCAACTCAGAAACTTAAAGGGGGTTGCGATGAGTCGGAATTGACTCAAAGGTAGTGAGTTTGGTTCTTTTTGATTTGTCTCTACATAAAGGAGCCCTAGTGGTGCAGTGGTTAAGCACTTGTCTGCTAACTGAAAGGTCAGCAATTCAAACCCATCAGTTGATCTTTGGGAGAAAAATATGGCAGCTATAATCTTTTGGAAGATTATAGCCTTGGAAATTCTATGATGCAGTTCTACTTTGTCTAATAGGGTCACTATGAGTTCAAATCCACCAGCCATTCCTTGGAAGGAAGATTGGGCAATCTACTTCCATAGAGATACCACCTCGAAAACCCAAGGAGGAGTCGCTATGAGTCAGATCTGACTCTACGGCAGTGAGTTTGGTTTGGTTTGTTATGAGTTGGAATCAACTCAATGACTATTTATTTATTTATTTTTCTTCTATACAGAAGGAGTCCATAGGTGTGCAATCAGAGTTAACAAATATGAGGAGAAAATGTTTACTTCCACCCCTTGGTTTAGATTATGGCCTGGTCAGGAACAAGACTGTTTTGTGGAGCAGTTGAATGTCATGGACCTCTGGCTGGAATCAAAGGGCTGAGAGCACCACTGTACACCTGCTCCGATCAAGTTTGCTGCACATCCAGAGTCACTCTTTCTTCCTGTTTCTTCTGCAGGCAGCGGCTGGGCCATCAACATCTATGGCAGGGGTGATACATGGGCATGTTTCCTCCCTTTGTCAATGTGACTATCTTAACTTTTAGTGGCAATTTTCATCAGATTCACCCTTCTGTATTGTGAAGCATTTATATCACCAGTGTAATTTCTTTATCTTTGGTTCCCAAGGTGAAAGAATATTTTTCACCAGTGTAGCAAGTGAACAATCTGAAAGGAGAAATAATTTCTTAATAAATAAGTAGGGGCAGAAAATATAGCATAGAGATTAAGACCAAGGGTTCTGGAGACAGGCTTCCTGGTTTCAATCCCAGCTCTACCACTAGACAAGTTTGTGATTTTGAGTTATTCCCAAACCTCAATTTTCTCACCTGTGAAATGGAGTAATAATAATAGCATCTACCTCAGAGGTGATGGTAAGGATTCACTGGGTTTATTGAAGTTAAACACTTGGAATGATGCCTAGATTAGATGAGAATAGGGATTGTCCTGAGGTGAGCTCACCACTGCTCCCTACATGTAATCATTTAATATAAAAATATCCATCCTCTTCCTGCTCCTCTCTTGATGAGTGCTGCCTCCTTCTACATACAATGGTTGACATATTTTGTGGACAGTAGCCATGGAGCACTAGGAACATGGTGCTTACCACACAATAGGCCTGTAGTAAATGTAAATTCCCAGTCCTTCTTTCCTATAAACTGCCTTCATAATTCCCCTTAAAGCATTTAACAAACCCACCTGCACTGATTCTAGTACTTTGTAAGATAGCAACTCAGCAATCCATGACCAGCAAACGATGCTCATTTTACAAACCATCTCCTTTGTCTGCCTTTCCTCTTTGCAGTGGGTGAAGGGCTTGAGTACTCTCCTTTCACGTTCTCTATCTGAGTCACATAGAAGTCTTTTGCAGTCACTTAGGAGAGATAATGCAAATTTCAATTAGATATTGTGAGCCCAAGGGCAGCGTAATCTTTCTTTTTCTGAATGCTAGCAGACAAAAACAGCCATAACCAGCTTACAGCTCTTAGAGATTTTCTGAACTTGCTCTTTTTTTATTTCTTTTATTTCAAAACCATAAGCCCATCTGGTTTTGCTGAATTCATTGGCCAGATAATGCCGTGTCAGGAGTTTGTACCAGAGCTACCTTTTATGTATCTGCACTGCCTCAGGAAACTCATGTTAAGATTGGACATGTGCTAAAAATTATTCATGGGAGTGTGAAATGGGAGTTGCCTTTGGAATGCATTTTCTTTAACTTCCACAGTTCAATACTTGCTTGCTGAATCTAGTGATTTAATAGAAAAATAACCACCCTCTTCTTCTCCACTCTTGATGAATGCTGCCTCCTTTCAGATACAGTGGTTGAAAAATTTTGTGGACAATATCCATGCTGTCCCACACATCATAGTGTATTCACTTCCTACATAAATTAATAAAATATCCAGCCATAAAATATAACCCTGTATTGCATCCTAACATTAAAAATCCCCAGATGAAACCAGGAACTAGAGAATGTTATGGTCTGTACAACTCTCAATGACCTCAAAGGAAGCTGTGTATGCTGCTTTTAAAATGTACTGTGACTCCTATTTGTTTCTAAATTTAGCTAATGGAATATACACGTTAGTAAACCTTATAGCCAGCCTCTCAGTTGCATGTTTCTAATTAAGTATTTGGCACCCACATATTTTAATTATGGCTGAAGAATTAACACTAGTTAATTTCTTTAGTAGACAAGGGAAATTAGCAAAAGTTAACTGTGGCAGTTCTATAAACTTCTCATTGCCAAAGGTAAGATATTCTGCTTGGGTCTGCTTTGGGTCTTTCTGCTTATTAATTCTTAAAAATATGCTTGTATTCCTTTAACTATGAATGAAACGCTTGCTTCTTTTCCATTTCACAGTAGGGAGCAAGAGCTAGATGATTCTTGTTATGGACCCTTTCAATTGATCCTGGGAAACACTCTACACCCACCCTGGCTGATTCCTCCTTACCAGATTGTCTTCTATTCCCTGCCTTGGCCTCTAGCCTTACCCTCACACCATTCAACACTCCCTGGACTGGTCATTCTCACCTTCTTACTGTTAGATCCATTGTCCTATCTAATATCTGACTCAGTTTTAGTCATGTTATCTTGCATGTCCATCTTCTGGATAGAAAAACTTTTTGATCTCAGATGGACTAATCAAAGGAACACTAATGCAAATTAGTAAATCATCAGGAAAGAAACTGAAGTCTATATTGTTAAACCACCTGGAGCTTTGTCTGCAGAGAGGGAGACCATCTGAAAGGAAGCCCAGTGTCAGGGAGGCAAAGGCATCAATTCCCATAGTTGATAATGTGGTGTCCAGACCACACCTGTGTGTCATTAAGCCCAGCTTTACCACTTTCTTGCTTGTGATCTTGGGCAAATTATTTAGGTAACCATGACTATAAAATGTGTGTAAAAATAGACAGTCAACATCATGGGCTTGTCTCAAGCATTAAAAGAGATTATTAATGTAAAGAAAGTGGAGTATACTTGATCTATGTAGTAAGCATTGAATACATATAAGCTTTTGTGTTTATTTATTGTTGTTGTTGTTATGTCCGTAGAGTTGGATCTGACTCATAGCGACCCTTCCTTGCGTTTCCAAAGCAGTATCACTATGGAAGTAGATTGCCCAAACTTCCTTCTGAGGAGTGGCTGGTGGGTTTGAACCACCAGCCTTCTGGTTAGCAGTCAAATGCCTTAGGCACTATGCTACCAGAGCTCCTATGCTTTTGTGTTAGTATCATAAAATTAATATTGCCATTATTATACATTGGTTTTAATTAGCCTCTTCCCGGTAACTGATCTTAACTAGGCATTTATATTTCTTAATTCACTCACTCATTCATTTTTCACATGTTTATTGAGGTCTGCATGCTAGACACTCTGTTCTAGGTGCTTGAGATACATCACTGAACAAAATAGAAATTCTTCATGTTGTGGAGCTTATATTCTATTGAGAGACAGGCAATAAATGATACCAAAAAAAAAAAAAAACTCACTGCCATTGAGTTGATTCCGACTAACAGTGGCCCCTCCTATGATACACTTAACAAATAAGCAAATTATTTAAGTGTTATGGGAAAAAGAAAGGCAGAGAAAAAGGCATCACCAGTGCTGGTGGGCAAGTGCACTCAGAAAAGGCATCATCAAGAAGGTGGCATTTGAGCAGGCTTAAAGGGGTTAAAAGGAGCTCTGGTAGCATAGTGCCTAAGGCACTTAACTGCTCACCAGAAGGCTGGCGGTTCAAACCCACCAGCCACTCCTCAGAAGGAAGGTTGGGCAATCCTACTTCCGTAGTGATACTGCCTCGGAAACCCAAGGGGGGGTCGCTATGAGTCGGGGCAGACTCGACGGCAAACAATAACAACAACAAAGGGGTTAAAGGAGTTAGCCAGGTGGCTATATCTGAAAAACAAGCAAACAAACAAAAAAACACAGAATTGCTCTTGAATTGATTCTGACACATGCTGACCTCATATGTGTCAGTTTAGGACTATGCTCCAGGGAATTTTCAGTGGCTGATATTTTTGGAAGTAGATGGCCAGTCTTTTCTTCAGAAGCACCTCAAACTTCCAGCCCTTTGATTAACAGCAAAGGGCATCAACTGTTTGCACTCTGCAGGGACTCCTTTGTGCCTCTCTGGG